ATAAATCGACCACAGTTAAGAGTTTCTGACGCTGGCATATCAAGTGTTGGCCCTTTGCCAGAGCGAATATTTATGTAACCAGCTGGACAAACACAGATGAGGTATATGTATTCGTTTCCCAACAAAGGACAATAAATGAATAAAGGGAGTAAGTGTCTTAAGAAACTGTAGTGCTGCATTGGTGGGGGTAACAAGGTAATTTGGTTTTAGCAACTAAGTTGAAATTGTAAATTGGTCACAGTAAAGAGTTTAAAAGCTGATGTTTCCAGCACTAGCCCTTCGTCTGCTCTTGAAACATCAGCTTTTTTAACTCTTTATGGTGGCCAATTTCATAATTTCAACTTAACGGTAATTGATAAAACCAAAAGACAATAAATTATTTTAATGGGGAAAAACCATGATATAGTTTTTTTCAGATAACAGCAAATCTTTTCATGGCTTTCTTAATAATTATATATTCTTACTGGTTTATGCAGAGGTAGATATTTTAATTAAGAGAATGAGGCATGTCATGTTGGGGAACCAAATATTCACCGATTCTTATCAGCCTAAAAACCAAGTCAATAAGAATCTTGTCAGAATTATTACAGCTGGTATCATTGTTTTTTTCCTCTTTCAGCTGGCTACTCACTCAGTCAGCCACACTGTTTTTCTCTTTTTATGAGTCTGGCTTGTGTCATTGTGTACAGCCCTTGTATAGATCTGAAAGTTTCAGAAAGTGTTTTTCATTTCATTCATTTTTTTTCTACCTTACATTGTAGCTTTTGTCAGCTTGTGTGAATAACTGCGATAAAGTATTCCACTTGGAGATTTGTTCAAGAGATTTCGTCAGTGAAGCAAAAAATATAATTTCCAGGGTAAGTTGTGAAACCTAAACAGGTAAAGCACTACTGTCCAAATGCAAAAATGGATTCTAAACTGCAATGATTGTACAATCTGTTCTTGTTTGTCTTCTTTTAAGCCACATGTTTTAATTGAAAGTACACGAATTGCATGTCTTTTAATGACCACAACATTATGCCACATGATGACAAGGCTTGCTATAAACCTCAAGTTGTTAATAATTAATACAGGTATTAAAAAAATATATATTTTTTGCCATTATATAATAATTAATTCTTATCTGACAGGCAGTATGGGGAGAGTTTAAATTACAGTCATTTACAGCTATTAAAAGTAATTGTCACAATAATAATTGTCAATAATAATGATAATAATTGTCACTAATTGTCACAATAATAATAATAATAATAATAATTGTCACTGCTAATCGCCGTTGCAAAGTACAGCAACGACGCAGCTCAACAAGGTCGAACCGAAAGCTTACAATTGCGCCTCTGGCAGCCGCTATACGGTCCATGTGTTACCTTGGAGCACAGCTTGCAGCCAGCTGGAATCAGCTGTATGTTGATTTTTGGTGAGGGAGGAAAACCCAGTGAAAAACCGTCGAAGCAGAGAAGAGAACCAACACAAACTCAACCCACTTATGGCGTCGGGTCCGAGAATCGAACCCAGGCCACATTGGTGGGAGGCGAGTGCTCTCACCACTACGCCATCCCTGCTTCCCTAAAAGTGGTTTAGCATTTGATTTGTCACCTTTTGTCTTATTTTACTGTCATTATACCTGTACAGGGACATCCCAAAGTAACTGAAAAATTGAAGAGGCTAATTAAGGAATGGGCAGTTAGCTTCAAAGATGACCCACAATTAAGGTATTTTAATTAACCCTTTATACCATAACATAAGTATGTATATTCTCCATACTGTTCTCTATACATTTCCTAAGGTGCTAACAAGGAGAATTTGTTTAACAATCAGGTGGAGCTTTAGGTGTTGATCATTTTCTTTATTCTCGTGACCTTTAAGTGTGATTCAGGAGTGTTATTGTAAGGAAAATTTAGATTCCAGTCACTCCTAGATGTGGAAGGCATGGTGGTTTATCAGTTAGTGTGTTGAAATCCTGGTGGAGATGTCCCAGTTTAACTCTTTACCCCGTAACATCAGTATGCATATTCTCCATACTATCCACTGCACATTTCCTAAAGTTACTGGCAAAGAGAATTTGTTTACTAATCAAGAGCTGCTTTAGTTGGTGATCATTTGCTTTATTCTTATGACTTTAATGTTTGATTGAGGGGCAATCTTGTAAGGAGAAATTAGATGCTGGTCACTCTTAAGGTTAAACAGTTCAAATCTGACTGGTTCATAAGGTTGTGTTCTTCGTTAAAACACCGAACCCTCTCACTCTTAATATCTAATATCTAATCATGGTCAAATCTTTCCTCTCGCTGCTACACATTTCCTTGTAAGTTAGTTACACAAATTTGGTTTTAGATTGATACAACAACTTCTACTTGATAAGTTTGAGTAATCTTACCACCTGTTTGCTAGATGATGTAAGGATATTCAGGACTCGACACTAATGGTAGCTCACTAGCCACAGAGTAGTAGAAATTCAGTTTTGGCT